CAAAAAGCAATTCAAGAAGTTCCTAGACATTTTTACCAAGTTGAGCATCAACATCCCTTTCGCCGAGGCTATAGCGTAAATACCCTCATATGCGAAATTTCTGAAAAATATTCTCAACAACAAGAAGAAGTTCACGGATTTTGCAACCATACCACTCACGGAGGAATGTAGTGCTATTCTCCAAAATAAACTACCTCCTAAGATGAAGGATCCCGGGAGCTTCACCATTCCTTGTTCTATTGGGAGTCTAGGAGAAGTAAGATCCCTTTGTGATCTTGGAGCTAGCATAAACCTTATGCCACTCTCCTTATTCAAGAAGCTAGGTGTGGGGGAGCCTACACCTACAACTATAGCTCTTCAATTGGTGGATAGAACAATCTGTTATCCTATCGGAGTAATGGAAGATGTTCCTATGAAGGTGGGCAAATTCTATCTCCCGGTTGACTTTCTTATTTTAGAAATGGATGAAATGGAGATTCCGGTTATTCTCGGAAGGTCATTCTTAGTCACTGCAGGTGCTCTTATTGATGTCAAGAATGGAATAGTGAAATTCCGCATTGGGGAAGAAGAGCAAGAGTTCCACGTTTGGGAATCCTTCAAGAGTCCTCCCATCGACTTTACATGCTTTAGTATCAATAACTTTGATACTACACTTAAAAATCCTCCGAAGCATGAAGCACACGAACAACCTCATGTTTACATGGAGAAGATCGGATCATGGCATGAAAGGAAGAAAGGTGAAATAGAACTCCAAGTTGGACATAAAGTTCTTCTTTACGACTCAAAGTTCCGATTGTCTACCGGAAAATTGGAGTCTCATTGGTCGAAACCATTCACCATCATAGAGGCTCAACCATTTGGAGAGATGGTGATCCAACAAGGGGAGAATAAACCTTTTGTCGTCAATACCCATCATTTGAAGCTGCACAAAGAGTACTACACCACTTCCTACCCATCCAAGAAATGATCACGAAGAACGTCCGGCCAACGACGTTAAAGAAGGTGCTTATTGGGAGGCAACCCAATTTCACATCCTTTTTATTTACATGTTTTTCTTTTATTATGTTTTTATACTCCTATTGCTAGCGGACATTGCAACTCAAGTGTAGGGGAGAGAAAAAGGCAAGAAGTTTGAAGTCTTGAAGCAAAAGTTCAACAAAAAGGGCAAAATAGGTGAAAAGGTCGAACCCCGCACGGTTTTCATATAAGCCGCCCGATTTTCAGATTTGCACTCCAGGTATTCTTCTCGCGCACGAAAGCCGCCCGGCGTTGGGCGTCGTAGTTTTATTCGATTTAATTAAATAGAAACCCGCCCGGGTTTCGTGTAAGCCGTCCGGCTTACCGGTGTGAGGATCCCACTGCCAAGCGAAAGCCGCCCGGCTTTCGCGAACACCGCCCGGATTACGGGTTGCAGGGTTTTAAATAACCTTCTTCTAAAAACAAAACACACGCACACCACTTCCAAACCCGCCCGACGAACGAAGAGCAGCAAACGGCCAACACCCTAGACCTTCTTCTCACTCATTTCTTCCTCTCCTTCAAGCTCAAAACAAGTATTTCTCAATCACTTTCACTTCTTTAATTCTTATTTCACTTTTTTTACATCATTTAATCGTTAATTTTGATTGTTCTTCCCAATTTCGAAATTTAGGGTTTATGCAAATTGATTGCTTTTAGGCCAAATTTGTTGAATGATATCCTATTCTTGTTGCTTATTATGCTTGTTTGGACCATTGTATGCCCTTTCCAAGTAGTTATTTTCAAAATTTTTGGAATTTTTGCTATTTGGTTGAAATTGGGGGCTAGGGTTCGAATTATTTGTTCAAAATTTGGGGAATTTGAATCAAAATCATGTGATTACTTGTTGATGAATGAGGTTGTGAATATATTGTCCCTTGTTGTCCTAATTTGAGATTATAGTCCTTTTTTTAGGGGAACCCATGTCAATTTTTCTTTTTTTGGAAATTGACTATAATCTTTTGAGTTGGTAGGAACAATGGCTTCAAAGGGAAAATCTGTGAGAAATGAGGCTAGCCCGAGCAACCCAAAGAGGGCTAGGAACAACAAGGCACCCGTGGCCTCCTCCACCTTCTTGCCGTCTAGTCAGTTTGTCAACACCAAATGCTATGAGCGATACTTGGAATCTAGGGACAACGATTTTGTTGTTGAGAAGACGGTGTCACAACCTATTGATCATGAGTTCCGGCTCACCGAGGCCTTCACTAATATCAATTGGGAGCCGGTGCTACATCTCGAAGGCACTTTCTACCCGGAACTCGTCAAGGAATTTTTCGCAAATGTTGATGGGAATAGCCCCCAAAATATGATTGAGATCCGAGTCAAAGGGGTAAAAATCACTATCACCAATGACCTTTTAAGCTCTCAATTTCACATCACCAAGTATGGCACTCCTTTCGCCCCTTCCCAAGCCGGAGCAATGAATAGTGACGTTAGCTACAAGCCTACAACCCCGTGGATGCGGTGCAATATTTTAGCTTGCAAGGACATGAGCTAATGACCAAGAACCTTGGTCAACCACACATCCGGGCCCGACTTTTGATGTACCTCTACTCATTCAACGTCATGCCGAGAGCAAGCGGCTACAACAAAATTCGAAGTGCCGACCTCTACTTTGCGTATAGGATGCTCACCGGGCTTGGTCGTTGTGATGGGATTCCTCTATCAAGCATCATCATCAAACAATTGTGGAGCGCGGCCTTGAGCAACAATCAAGATAAGGCCTTCATTTTCCCTATCTTACTCTCTAACATTTTTTAGCATTTTGGTGTTAGCTTTAGAGGGGAAGAGGAACGGGAGACACACTCCATGCTTGATGATAATGTCATGACACACCTTCGTTATTTTCAACCGCCGCACGGAGGACCATGGAGGTGCGTGGAGAGATTTCATAGAGTTGTACCGGAAGGAAATGAAGAAGAAATGATGGAAGGAGGAGAAGCCCAAGGTGGGGAGCCCAAGAGAGGCCATGAGGAGCACCATGAAGAGGTGGCTCATGTACCTCAAGACGGAGCTAATTACGACATGGACTAATTGACTGAACAATTTGGTCAAATTCATACGGAGCTTGCAGTTCATCAACGGGATTTGTGGAACCAACGGCGGGCTATTGAAGGCTTGGGAGGCCATCTTTGGAATTTCAACTACTATTGCCAAGAGTTGGGGCGGCATTTCAACATACCACCATGACGTGCACTCGTCGTTAGGTGCACTCAAAATACTTAATCAATACGACACTAATACGTAGTATAGTGTAGTAAGGTTCGTATCCACAGGGAAAGGAATACTTTTCTTTTATAAAAGTAGTAACAAAGGGGGGTTTAGATTTGTTTGTTTTAACAACACTAAGATAAACAACCTATATGAGTTTAATTCAATGAGATGGGGACTTGGTTTTGCTTTTATCCACTTAATGAAATGTTCGTCGATCCCGGTTATATCTTTAACTATCTTCCTCTCGAATACTCAATCGAGGAGTATATCTAGTTCATCGAGGGTAGTTATTAATAACGAGATGCGTTCATTAATAAAACTTACTATCGAGTCAATATAGAACAAGCGCCGTATATTAACTTGATAGTAGCAATAAACTTAAGATGAAAACGATTGAGATTGATAACCTCAACACAAGCGGTTTATTGGTTTAATCAATATAATTAATTCCCCTTGGCATATTAACCATGAGATGCATGCATTAATATTCCAAGTTTACTACCATTGAAAGAACCAGATTAATAACAAGCGTATTAACCAGTTGATTCTAGTAATAATTAATATGAGAAACAATACTAGTTGATACTTTAAGTAATGTTTAAGATATTAACATGAAATATGAATAGGAATTCATTAATACTCAAGGAAGAATATTAAAATATATGAATCCTACTATGATTAATATCAAGTTGTTAACTAATTGTCATCTTAGTAACACTCCCCAATATTTTCATAGAGGAAGAAATAGCTATTACTATAACCAATGTCAAGATGTTAACTAATTGTCATCTTAGTAACACTCCCCAACTTTGATATAGAGATAGTATTTTGAAAGAAAGAATTAATATTCAAGGAAGAAGATTAAAGAAAATAACTCACAACTTACAAATTCATTAAGCTTCAAAGTAGCAAAACCAAGATGGAAGAGTTTAGCTCCTCATTTGGAGACTAAACATGATGAAAAATATAAAGAAAGAGCTATTCTATACTGAGCTTAGATGTACAAAGGGATTGGATATCTTTTTGTGAAGGAAAGGAGGTGTATTTATAGGCTTTTGGGAGCTAATTCGGGTACTCGATCGGGTATATACATGGTACTCGATCGAGTATGTGTGTAACACCCGATCCGAGGTATACTCGACCGGTTTCAGGGTATTTTCTAAGAGTATATCCGATCGAGTATATATGAATACCCGGTCGAGTATGCTTAGAAAATGGTATTCGAACCATACTCGACCGAAATTCTTTTGAAATTCAAAGGCATACCCGATCGGGTATGTCGGTCTACCCGATCGGGTATAGACATAAAATCGTGGACGAAATCTTCCCTGCATGTTCCCTTGTCTTCGGATCTGATCCGATTTGAAGTTCTAACCTAATACCCGATCGAGTATAGCTAATACTCGACCGAGTATAGACCAAAATTCAGGATCTTGTCTTGTCTTTGAACTTTTGCACCTTCTTTTCACTTTTTGGGTTCACCAACTGTACTTTGAGTGACCAAAACCTGCTTGAGCTCAGAATATATCTAATCTAACCTATTTACAAGAATTTAACAATCTAATCTATTACACCAAAAGTGTATAATTTCCAAAGTAAAAGTCAAGCAAAACTAATTAAAAACATAAACATAAATATGGAAATTACGAACGTATCAACTCCCCCACACTTAAACCTTTACTCGTCTCGAGTAAGATCAAATGTTTACAAGTGTCAATGTTTGTCCAAAAGTTCCACAGTTCAACAAAAACATAATACAAACACAAAGACCACCAAGGATGACAAAGAAAAATGAGTTTTAAACTCAAATTACAAAAGAGCATCTTAGGTTTAATGGCCTCCTAGTGTTGTCTTCTTTTCTCCTCCTCTCTTCTTCTTTATCTTGAATCTTCTTATTCTTTTCATAAGGATACAATGAGTGCCTGCAAGAACAAACATTTCTCTCATATCTCTCATTTTGCCTAGGAGCCTTTTCAGGTTTTCATCCTAGCACCTCTTTTCATTTTTCATTCTCTCCAACTCACTCATTTTTTTATAAGCCTTTTTTTGCTTAGATTGCCCATTTTGTTGGGTTTTCAACCTAACTAGCATTTATTTTCTTTTTTTTATTTTTTTTATAAAAGTTCAAAAGAATTACATGCATAGTGCTAGGTAGAAATGAAAATTACATACCATCATGAGTGTCTCCCCCGCACTTGAATCAAGCACTGTCCCTAGTGCCCGCCTTCTCCTCCGTAGTAGCTCCCTCCAAAGCCGCTCCCTTGGCCACCATCTCCCATGTAAGTGTCCCCGCCATCTCCTCCGTCGTACCCTCCACCCCCGGAGCCTGATCCTCCAAAGTTACCCCAATGAGTGGGGTCATACCATGAGGGTGGTGGAGGGGGGTTCGCCATGGTATGGAATCATCCCTGTTGTGCCATATAAGAGTACATAGGTCCGTAGAACCTATGTTGGTCTTCCTCATACCGATGTCTATCGGCCTCCCGGAGCTCCTCCAAACGTTGAAAGCCGGCTCTTTGCTCATCCTCCAATCGTTGAAAACCGGCTCTTTGCTCCTCCTCTAATCGGTTGAGCCGGTTGTCCATTTGGGCTATTCCCGTAAGCAGTTGTTGTTGACCCTCCAGAAGTTGTTGAAAGATGTCGGGTGGTGGAGGGTTTTGGCTCTGTTCTGGGAAGTCCTGGTTCATGGTTGGATGGATATGGAGTTGCTCATAGGGCTCGTAATCTGCTTGGTTTTGGGGAGGTTCCTGTTCCGGTTCCTGGAGATGTGGTGGGAGGGCGTTTGGAAAGAGGTAATGTTGCTCCGGTCTTCCTGTTTTGAAATGGAGTTGGGGGAGTTCTGGGTTGGGCAAGAGGAAGTATTTGAGGGGTTTGGGGTGGATGTGCCAGTTGTACATATTTCTGGGCCTTTCTTCACCATAAACGGTGTGTGAAAAAGATGTACAGCCCGAGTGGCCCAGCCAAGATATGTTCATCAAACAGTAGTCGGGTATAGGAGAGTCATCCGTAGTATACCCGAACTTTGTGGCCAAGTGCATAATCACCCCGCCCACTACAATAGCACCCTTTGCCACACTTTCTTTTTTTTAGATGTGCCCACATGAGATTACATAGGTTGAAGTCTACGTGGATACGGAATAGGGCTACCGATATCAGGCACACATCCCCCATCCTAGTGTGATGGTTGTTGGGACGTCCAAGTAAGGAGTTGGCAAGGAATTTCAAAAAGAGGTGTAGGACGGGATGTTGGACATGACTAATGTAGAGTTGGGAGGAGCTAAATTTAGTCTCCCCGGTCATCTTGGTCCATAGGGTATGGCCGAAGGCGGTATTTTCGGATATAGATTTTTGGTACGGGACCGGAATACCAAAGTGTTCGGCGAACTCAAGTTTTGTGATGGTGTGATTGTGATTAAACAATCGAAACCTGAGTTTATCATCCCTAAAGTCCTCTTCATTGTTCTCAAAGTGCACAGAGCTTAGGAATTCATAGATAATTTTTTCATTTGAGTTGTATTGCATTTTGAAAATTTTATCCATGCTCAACTCATGAAAAAATTTCTTCATCATTTTGTACACTCCTAATTCCTTCCGGGCATCAAGGCATAAAAAGCGAGAAGGTTTAACTTGCCTTTCAATTGTGGACATGAAGCGTGTGCGGTGTTCGTTGTCCACGAAGAGGATGTCCTCGTAGCCCGGGATGGGTGCCCTAGTGCTTGAGCTTTGCCCTTTCTCTTTCCTTGGAGCCATTTGGAGTGAATTTGGCCTTTGAAAACCGAAATTGGAAGGTGGAGGGTAGGGTTTTTCGGACCTCTGAAAATTGGGGGAGAATGGGATTGGTGAGTATGAATGTGTAGAGGAGGATGAGGGGAGTGTTTTGGTGTTGAAATGGGAGGATTTGGTGAAGATTTGGAAGAGATATGGTAGAGAGAAGGTGTAAAAATGGGGGTTTGGGCGTTTTTGTTCGAGATAAGGTTTGAAATTCGGAGAAGACGAAGTGTTTTGGGCTGATTTGGGGTTATAATACCCGTATACCCGATCGAGTATGTGCTGGTACTCGGTCGGGTATGTCTGGAAAGTGGCTTTTTCGAGCAGTCTGACTCCTGTACTCGATCGGGTAGTGTATGGTTACCCGGTCGAGTATTGCTGGAAAGTTAAGTTTTTGAGCGGCCTGCCTTCTGTACTCGATCGGGTAGGGTGTTGTTACCCGGTCGAGTATGTCTGGAAAATGAACTTTGTGAGCAGCCTGTCTCCTGTACCCGGTCGAGTACTCCTCCATACTCGATCGAGTATGTGCTTTTTTCTATTTTTGAAGCAGGTACTCGGTCGAGTGTGGGAGTCAGTCTCCTTCAATTTCAGCATTTCTATACATACCCGACCGGGTGTATAGTGATACCCGATCGGGTATTCCTTGTTTTTCAATTTTTGAGTGCTTCCTCGATCGAGTAATGCCCGATCCCTTTTCTTTTTGCTCATAACCGACTGAGTATAAGGTGATACTCGATCGGGTATGTCCCCAGATGTTCCAAAACCTGCATTTTTTATTTCTTTTCTTCCAATAAACCGTGATTAGTGCCCTCCCTTACTGATCTCTCAAATATTTAGAAAAAAAAAATGAATTCTAAATAAATAAAAAAAATGAATTATACACACTTAAATAAAAATAAAATAAACTTGGGTTGCCTCCCAAGTAGCGCCTTAGTTAACGTCGTGGCACGACGTTATTCATTTTTTTTGGTTTTGTTTTATGTGGGATCATGAGCATCCCTTGTTTCACTTTTCAAGGCCCTATTTGGCCATTTTTCATTTTTATTTTTCGGCCTTTTCCAGTAAGGCCGGGGTTTCTTTCTCGAAAGACATCTGATTTTATCCGCTTCTTTGAAAAAAAGCGGTTCTTGTGGTTCAACAACATGTAAAGAACACAGAGTTGGATTTTGCATTTGTTTTTTCGTAGAGTCCAAGATGTTGAACTCCACTTTTTGATCATCGGACTCTAAAGTTAGTGAACCACTAGAAACGTCAATTTTCGTTTTTGCGGTCTTCATGAAGGGTCTACCCAAAAGGATGGGTGTTGTTTGGTCATCGGTTCCCATTTCAAGGACATAGAAGTCAACAGGAAAAACCATATTTTCTACTTCTATTAGCACATCTTCTACTACACCCTTCGGGTAAGTACTAGAATGATCTGCCAATTGAATCACTACACCTGTTTGATGTAGTGGGCCAAGTTGTAGAGTTTTGTAAACAGAATAGGGGATGACATTTATTGATGCCCCTAAATCCAACAAGGCCTTAGGAAATGTGGTGTTTCCTATTTTGCAAGGGATAATGAACATGCCTGGGTCGTTACATTTTTCGGGGAGTTTCCTCTGAAAAATGGCCGAGACGTGTTCACTAACTCTAACCTCTTGTTTCCCTTTCAATTTATCTTTTCTTTTTGTTTTGCATAATTCTTTTAAGAATTTAGCAAAACGAGGGACATTTTTCATTAAGTTAAGAAGCGGAATGTTTACCTCACACTTTGCGAAGGTTTCATAGATGTCGGCGTCTTTTTCTAGCTTCTTTGTCTCTTTCAGCGCCTCAGGGAACGGGATTTCTTGTTCATATGATAAGGGTGGGGGAAGCTTGGTCTCTTTGTTTTCCTCCTCCGGTGGGACTACTTTTCTAGGGTCCACACCCTCAGTCTCTTCATCGTTCTCTTCTGCCTCTTTCAACGTTGCACCACTTCTCAACGTTATAGCATTCACATGTTGTCTCGGGTTTTGCTCCGTTTGAGATGGGAGTTTACCCGAGTCTTTTGTTTCAAGTCGGTTCACGGCATTTGCAATTTGACTGACTTGGTTTTCCAAATTCTGAATGCTGGATTTGGTCTCATGCTGAAATTGAACCATGTTTTGTTGCATGGTTGAGACATTTGAGGTGAGTGCTCGGATCATGTCCTCGGTGGACATGCTTGAGCTTGACGTCTGGCCTTGGTGCTTTGGGAAAGTTGGTGGCAAGGACTGATTTTGCGGATTCCCATACCTCAAATTCGGGTGATCTCTCCATCCAGGATTGTAGGAGTTAGAGTGTGGATCATACCTCTTTTGACCTTGAAATCCCAAAGCATTGACTTGCTCGGAATTCTCTTCTTGTAGTGTTGGACAGGAATCGGTGGGATGCCCCTGTGTCGAGCATATGCCGCAGACCTTGATTTCTTGGTGTTTTGGATTTAAAAGGAAATCCTTTACCAAAGAAGTCAAGCCGGCTACTTGACTTTCCAACGAGATGTTGGATTCCGCTGCCATGACCCGTTTTGATGATGACCTACCATTGTAGTGTCTAGAATTCTCGGTTAACTCCGAGATGAGGTTCCTAGCTTGGGAAGGGGTTTTGTTGACAATTCCCCCTCCATATGCTGCGTTCACCAGGCGTCTATCTTGCTCCGCAAGACCGTCATAGAAGTAGAGGATGAGGTCTTGCTCTGTGTAACCGTGATATGGGCAGCTAGCACACAATTTTTTAAAACGCTCCCAATACTCATATAATGTCTCATCATCTTTTTGCTCGATGTTGCTTATTTGTTTTTTTTTAAAGATGATGAGACGGATGCAGGGTAGTACCTTTCTAGGAAGCACTTTTTCATTGATGCCCATGTATCTATACTCCCTGACGGGAGATAGAATAACCAATCCTTCGCCGTGTCTTTGAGGGAGAATGGAAAAGCCCTCAACTTGATTTGTTCCTCTGTGACTCCATTTGGGCACATGCTTGTGCAGACAATATGGAATTCTGAGAGATGTTTGTTTGGGTCCTCGCCCCTTAGGCCATGAAAGGATGGCAGTAGATGTATGAGCCCAGATTTTAGCTCAAATGTATTACCTTCATCGAGTGTAGGGAAGGTAATACATAATGGTTGTTGATTGAGATTTGGAGCAGTGAGCTCCCGTAGTGTTCTTGTCTCAAGAGCCATGGTTATTGACTCTTCGGTCTCGCTAGAATGAGAACTAGCGCTGGATGAATCTCTGATAGATGATTCCTCCGAGTCGGTATTAGAAAATTTACTTTTCAACCGCTCGAAAGTGTGTTCTATTTCTGGATTTGTTTGATATGTGATTTTGTTTATGGAGCGATGTTTAACCATAAACTCCACTAAGCTCAGAAATAGAAGAAATAAGAACTCTTTATATTTTTTTATTTAATATTTTTTTTTTCTTGATATGAAAATAAAAGAAAATTTTAATTGCCTTTCCCTGGCAACGGCGCCAAATTTGACGTGCACTCGTCGTTAGGTGCACTCAAAATAATTAATCAATACGACACTAATACGTAGTATAGTGTAGTAAGGTTCGTATCCACAGGGAAAGGAATACTTTTCTTTTATAAAAGTAGTAACAAAGGGGGGTTTAGATTTGTTTGTTTTAACAACACTAAGATAAACAACCTATATGAGTTTAATTCAATGAGATGGGGACTTGGTTTTGCTTTTATCCACTTAATGAAATGTCCGTCGATCCCGGTTATATCTTTAACTATCTTCCTCTCGAATACTCAATCGAGGAGTATATCCAGTTCATCGAGGGTAGTTATTAATAACGAGATGCGTTCATTAATAAAACTTACTATCGAGTCAATATAGAACAAGCGCCGTATATTAACTTGATAGTAGCAATAAACTTAAGATGAAAACGATTGAGATTGATAACCTCAACACAAGCGGTTTATTGGTTTAATCAATATAATTAATTCCCCTTGGCATAATAACCATGAGATGCATGCATTAATATTCCAAGTTTACTACCATTGAAAGAACCGGATTAATAACAAGCGTATTAACCAGTTGATTCTAGTAATAATTAATATGGGAAACAATACTAGTTGATACTTTAAGTAATGTTTAAGATATTAACATGAAATATGAATAGGAATTCATTAATACTCAAGGAAGA